CTCCAGTTCCTTGCTCATAGAATTGAGTTCAGACTGAGTTCTGGTCTACTGCAATCGTATCTGACAGTCTTTTTTTGCCTGTTTTAACTTTGGTGCAAGGTTTGTTTTGACAGAAGATATATGCTGTGTTATATTCCTTAAACTCAGTGATTACATAGCTTGTTATTTATGTACTTACAAGCATGCAAGTATGAAGTTGCTCACTAAACATCATTCATAATAAATTAAAAATCAGTGTCTATAATTTTAAGAGGAGAATTATTTACAATTACATTTATAGCATTGCCCCAAATGCATTATTTATATATATAGGTATAAATATAGCTCAGGAGATATATGTGTGTGTGTGTGTACATGTATATATACTTCAAAAAGTTCAAAGAAAAATAAAACTAAAAGATAACACTCCATACATTTCTTGAAAATTCATGTGTGTGTGTGTGTGTGTGTGTGTGTGTGTGCGCACGCGCGCGTGTAACCTGATGGATAATTATTATCCCCTTTCCATTTTTCTTCATTTTCTGAATTTTTCTTTTAAATATATTAACTTTTATAACCTCAAAATACATAATATTCTACAAATTGCATTATATTTGAATTAGGGTATTTAAAAAATATTTTATCGTGGCTTATATTAATTTATTACATCATAAAAATAATATCAGCTTACTCCCTGTAATAATGTTCTAGTTGTCAGATCTTTGAACTCTTGGAATTCATAGTCTAGTCACAAGAGCAATAAAAAAAAATAAAAACAATGAATGTAAAATGTTGTTAAGGAAAAAACTTATGTTGTAAATGAAAAATAAAGAGGGAAGTTAACTCTAGAGAAGGAGTTATATTGATTTCTTTGTTTGTTTACCTTCAACTGCTCTTAGGAAAGCCATTAGATAGGAGAAATGGTTGTGAGGATGTAACAGCAAACTCTTAAGCTTGCTAAACAACTTACTGATGGCTTGGATTAAGTGTTGGTGATGTATGTGGAGATCCATGAGGAGATTTCAGATGTGTTGTGAAGTTAGAACTAAAAGTACCTATTTATGCATTAGATAAGAGAGGTGAGCAACAGCAACTCTAAATTATCAATCTCAAAACTGTTTTCAATTTTACGTGTAGTTTTTGCAGTTACGAGATTGTTGGTAGCAATTAAAATCTCCTGGTCATTGATTCATGCTAGAAAAATATGCAAAGTTATCTTTATTGATTTTGATTATGAAAAGTTTCCATTACAGTGTAAATTATTGTAACTGTTTCCCTAGACCAAATATAAGTTTTTCTCCTTCCCTTGGAGATTCAAGTTTAGTTTGCTTGTGTACAGGGTGATATTAGTGAAAAAACATAAACATGCTGTCACTTTTCTATTTGATTATTGAATATCTGGCAATCAATCCTGTAATTTCAAGAAAATTTTGAGTAGGCATTAACAGTGCAGTAATACATAATTGTATAATTGTATAACTTCCTTGACTTAACCACAGAACATTTTGGCAAAAAGCACAAAATCATTACATTCATTTTCCTCTATTTCTTTTAACAGTTCTACAAGCTGGATAAAAGAATAA